GGAAGCAACGGTGTCAGGACCGTCGCTGTGGACCAGCATGTTTACTTTTGTTTTGAGGGGGTGGGGGGTTATGGTCGAAGGTTGTTCGTTATCTTCCATGCTGGCTTCGCTCCCGCTCGTTTTTGCCGCCGATCTCCCTCCCAGAGCTGAACACGTTTACACAAAAAAACGATCACCGGTCTACCCATCGGTCGTTGAGAGGAAGTGTCTTGGATTCCCAGATTCCAGATTCGTTTCGGCGCCTTACTACTTCAATAGTCGAGTTGCTTCCCCTCTTCTCTCCTCTTCGGGGGGCGGCCAGAGACCCAATATACTTCCAACGCTCTCCTACAGTCAAAAATCCTAATTTGAGGGAGTTTCTGTGGAACTCACGTCATCCTCACCCCCGGCGCGAAGAGCACGAGCCCAGAGCGGCCTCCGGCACCGTTTCCGGACCGATCCGGTGGATCCGCCGACGAATCCCAAACCGGCGCCCTCGCCTGAGACATCCTCACAAAACGGGCCCCGGGGGGGATGCCCAGAGGAGCCCAGAGCGGCCTCCGGCACCGTTTCCGGACGGATCTGCTGGATCCGCTGGATCCGGTGACGAATCCCAAACCGGCGCCCTCGCCTGAGACATCCTCACAAAACGGGCCCCGGGGGGGATGCCCAGAGGAGCCCAGAGCGGCCTCTGGCACCGTTTCCGGACGGATCCGCTGGATCCGCTGGATCCGGTGACGAATCCCAAACCGGCGCCCTCGCCTGAGACATCCTCACAAAACGGGCCCCGGGGGGGATGCCCAGAGGAGCCCAGAGCGGCCTCCGGCACCGTTTCCGGACGGATCCGCTGGATCCGCTGGATCCGGTGACGAATCCCAAACCGGCGCCCTCGCCTGAGACATCCTCACAAAACGGGCCCCGGGGGGGATGCCCAGAGGAGCCCAGAGCGGCCTCCGGCACCGTTTCCGGACGGATCCGCTGGATCCGCTGGATCCGCCCGGTGACGAATCCCAAACCGGCGCCCTCGCCTGAGACATCCTCACAAAACGGGCCCCGGGGGGGATGCCCAGAGGAGCCCAGAGCGGCCTCCGGCACCGTTTCCGGACGGATCCGCTGGATCCGCTGGATCCGGTGACGAATCCCAAACCGGCGCCCTCGCCTGAGACATCCTCACAAAACGGGCCCCGGGGGGGATGCCCAGAGGAGCCCAGAGCGGCCTCCGGCACCGTTTCCGGACGGATCCGCTGGATCCGCTGGATCCGGTGACGAATCCCAAACCGGCGCCCTCGCCTGAGACATCATCACAAAACGGGCCCCGGGGGGGATGCCCAGAGGAGCCCAGAGCGGCCTCCGGCACCGTTTCCGGACGGACGACCTGACGGCATAACACGCCTGGATATGCCGACGGGGGCGGAGGAGGAGGAGGAGGAGGAGGAGGAGGAGGAGGAGGAGGAGGAGGAGGAGGAGGAGCAGGAGGAGGGGGAGGGGGAGGGGGCAGCAGAGGGAGCCCCGGCCCTGGGGGAGGGGCCCTGTGGGAACCCTGATGGGCTTCCGGCACCATGGAGAGGTCCTGTGGGGCGGCCGCCCCTTCTTCTCTCGGTCTTTTCCCTCTCGCCCAGAAGCGCGCGCCCCTTCTTCTATATATTCAGAACCCCCCGATCAACCGCAGAGCGGCGGATGTTTATCATCAACATCATCATCACAGTTTTCACCATCATCATCACCATCATAAATACGCGCGACTTTGCTCAGGGTACCCTTACGTCCTTGCTCTTCCTTGCTCTTGCGTCTCCGTCCTTCCGTGGTTTCGTCTTGGGGTTTTCGTCGTCCGCCGCCCAAAAAATCCCAACTTCGGCTTCCAAGGGTCTTGCGTCCTTACCGCGCGTCCTTGTTAGGGTTTTTGACTGTACGTCGTCTCTAACTACTTCTCCCGACCGGTGGGTAGTGCCGGCCCCGCGGCGGGCCGGGGGGCCCGATGGCCCCAGGAAGGGCAAGCAGCCATCGGGCCCGCAAGACTGCGCGCCAGGAGAAGGGCTGCACCCCAGGAGGAGGAACCGAGGACGTCGTGGGCGGCGATGTCGAACATGCAATCGGCTGATCTGAAGACGCGGGAACAAAAGCGCGAAGTTGCAAATGCAAAAGAAGCATGTAAAGGAAAATAACAGCGCAGTTGCAAACGCAGCAATTATGGATTGCTTGCTCAGTCTTTGTAGTTTTCTTACTGGGACCGAGAAGCGGAACATATTCCAACACGCCGAGCTAAAAGCGTGTCAAAGAACAACGCCTCGGGCAGAGAACTGCCAAGCCAGCGAATGACCCATTATCAAGCAGTTGTGAGTCACGTTGGCAAGCGAAGAACGGTATAACCTAGTTTTTCCGCCGCCTGGGGCGCCTGCCACAGGGAGGCTGGACAGCTCACACCCTCATGGGGGGCACGTCGGGGCAGAAACTTTCCAGCCGCCGTGGGGCAGGCGCCCCCTACGACGGAAAAGTTTATCTCATGCCGTTCTTGACGAACGATCAACACGCACCCATACCCACAGGGGAGACGGAATGAGCTATGGGTGCGTGTTGTCGGATAGGGGTCCCCGCTCGAACGGGAGTTTCCTCGGGGGTCCGACAACCAGCACCCATACCCATGGCCAGTCTTTCTCCCTCCGACCTCCCTATGGGTACGGGTGTGTGTGTTGTTCGTTCGTCCGTTCCTCGTCGGCGAGCAGCGGGCACGCAGCTCGCCGACGAAGCACGGACCCCCGCAGCCGGCGAAGCAGCGGGCACGCAGCTCGCCGACGAAGCAGCGGGCAGTCGCAAGGGCTCCCTCGAGGGCGCGAAGTTATTCGCGCTTCGCGCTTCGCGGTCCTCGTTCCTTCTCCCCCTCCTCCTCGTCCTCCTATTCTCCCTTTAGGAGGGCGGCGCGAGAGCGCGAAATTATTCGCGCTTCGCGCTTCGCGCAGCGCGAAGCGCGAAGTTGGGAGCCCTAGCAGTCGGCACGCCCCGCAGCTCGCTGGGCGTGCGGTTCGGGACCAGCTGCGGCCCTTCCGGGGGCCCTCGCCGTGCTCCGCCGGGAGCGGCAGCGGCAGGCTCGCTCGGGCCGAGAGGCCGGGCCCGGGGCTGGGCAGAGCCCCCCACAGGGACACGTCGAGTCGTGAATGGTCCGCTTTCGGTGCTCGAGAGGGCGCCGTGGCCGTCATTTTCCAAGCTTGCGCCCGCCAGGCTTGGGCCTCAGGTCGTTTTCACGAAACCGCGTTTTGCGAAAGGGGGGTCTGTCCATCCCCGACCGGACCCGGGGGAAGTTCGGGGACCCCCAAACGGGGGGGTGACCACACAGTTCGATGATCCCCAGGGCGCGTGTTAGCCAAACGTGTGCTTACCCCTTTCGGCCCAAACCAGTGGGTCATCATATCGCATGCGCCGTACCGACGGGCCTCGATGGACAAGCACGCGTTGGGGCTAACACACGTTCCGAGGATCATCGAACAGTGTGGTGAGTCGGTGGGGAGTCGGGGTCACCGCACGGTTTTGGGACTTGGGTCGTCATCCGAGGATGTCTCGGGCGATTGGGGCCTCCAGCAGGGCTCATTTCGATTCCTCCGATTCGATTCGATTTCGGTGGCCTCCGATTCCGATTGGATTCGACTTGGGATTCTGGTTCGGGTTCCGATTTCATATGGGACGCCTATTTGCTTGCCGATCTCCGCCGATTCGATCTTTCCCGACTCGGATGCCGATTTCCGCCGCTCCGATTTATCGGTTCGATTTCGGGCTCTCCTCCTCCAGGGTCCCAAAACCGTGTGATGACGGACCCTGCGGTGAGGTCTCTGGAGGTTTCGAGGTCACCGCCGGGTCTGTCACCACACGGTCTTGGGATCCCGAAGAGGTGGTTTGGATGTTTGGGCATGTGCAGAGGGGAGTAGCGGAGTTGTGAGTGTCGTCTTCGGTAAAGGGGGTCATAGAGCGTGCCAAGGGTGTGCCGAAGCGGTTCGACAGCCGAATGCGAGCTCTACCAGTGGGGCCTTCGGTGGAGCTCCTCCTGGGGCCACGAGACGAGTGAGGGGGGTGCCGAAACGGGCGTGACGCCCACATGTGGACGGTACTGTCGGGGCCTTCGGTGGAGCTCCTCCTTATTGGGCCATGAAGCGTGCAAGGGGAGTGGAGAACCGCATGCGAAACCCGTTGAAGTGAGCTTCGGTTGAGCTCTCTAGGGGGCCACGCAGCGCGTCAGGGGTGTGCCGGCAGGCATGGAGAAGCGTGTGCGCCCCCCGGGGAGTCCCTTGTCGGGCCACGAAGCGTAGGAGGGGTGCGCCGAACTGGGTGGAGAACCGTGTGCGAAGCCCCTCTCCTGGGGGTTTCGTTGGAGCTTCCTTTGGGGCCACGAGACGCGAGGGGTGTGCCGAGATGGGCGGGGAACAGCATGTGAAGCCTCACTCCTTGGAGCTTCGGTGGAGCTCCCCTAGGGGACCATGCAGCGCGTCAGGAGTGTGCCGAAACTGGTAGAGAATCGCATGCGAAACACCCATCCCAGGGCCCTCGGTGGAGCTCCCCATGGGGCCACGAAGCGCGCGAGGGGTGTGCCGAAAGGGGTGGAGAGCCTCATGCGGTCTCGGTGGAACCCCCTTTGTGGGGGCCACGGAGCGTGTGGAGGTGTGCCGAAGTGTGCACGCGGAGGACAGAGGCAGGGACGAGATCAGGGGAGGAGAGGCGGCGGAGGAGGAGGAGGAGGAGGAGCAAGAAGGAGGACGCGGGGCGCCCGTGTCGTCCAAACGAGGACCCGACGCCAGAGGATTGTCGAGAGCAGCAATCTCGTGTAACCGTGAGCTACGCTGAGAGTCCCACAACTACCTCAGAGCCCTCCTTCCTCCAGGAATCACTCGCGGGCGAAGAGAAGTATAAGCTAATATGCTCCGTCACCGGGGGCGCTGCCCCAGGGCGGTTTTGAAAGTTTATATCTTGACGTGCCACCGTAAGGGAATCAACTTTCCAGCCGCCCTGGGACAGGCGCCCACCACGACTAAAAACAGTTTATGTTATACCGTCCGTCGCCCGTTAACATCAGGCAGGGGGTGGGCGCCATGATGGCCGTCCTGGCCGCGCTACGGATTCACCACAAGGCTCCTGATATTGAGTTTCAGGCGCTCAGGGCTTTTCAAATGGTGGGGCATCCAGGAGCAAGTTCCCTTCAACGCCTGCCTGGCCATGTGATGGTCAAGCGCGTGGCGCAGCACGACAGCATCGCATCCCCCTCCGCCTCCGAGAGCCTCCCGCCCCAGAGCCTCTCTTCCTCAGCTGGCCGGTCCTCCCGCCGTTCGCCATTTTGCCTGGCGAAGAGGCTACGTCTTCACTCCCAGAGAGAAGCTGCCCAATCCATGTGCATCTCTGTGCAGTCGAAGGAGGCCGTCAAGTGTCGCAAGGTGCAGCTTGCCTTTCGATGTCGTCGTTGTCTGCGGCGGCAGCCGCACCGTAGCCAATGCTAAGAGTGTGGCCTAACACAACTTCCAGCGTCAACGTGAGGACTTTCCGGCGTTCGCTGGGTCAGGTGCGATTGTGGGGTTCCAAAAGACGGGGAGCGCCAATCTGTCCTGTCAATTGTTTGAGATTTCCCGCTTGGTCTCCCCCATTGCTGCTTTCCTCCGCGCACTGGGTGGTTTGCCTTCTCGGGCGCGTCCTGCATTCGTGACCGTTCCGGGCACCTGTTCTTTTTCTCTGCTTGTCGAGCAGGGCCACAGCGTTTGTTTGCAGCGTCGCGCTTGTGAGGCAATCGCTATGTTTTTTAGCTGTTCAAGCAGCTGCCTGCCATCCCGCCACGTGGATCTGCAAGCTTTTGTGAGCACGCGTCGCATCGTCACGCCCGCTGATTGTCGTCTAATATCGCAGTGGGATAAAATACTTCGGCACGGCTTATGGACGCATCAGCGTGTGATCTCCAGGATGTTCGTTCGTTTTCCGGCGACAGGCGCCACGATTTGCGCCCGCGGGGGGGGGGGGGGGACATGGGGCCCCGTAGCATCCAGTTTGGAGTGGGCTTCTCGACGACGACGAGGACGACGACGAGGACGACGACGATGACAGCGACGACCACGACGACGGCGACGACGGACGACGGACGACGACAACGACGACGACCGACGACGACGACGACGACGACGACGACGACGACGGCGACCGACGTCGTCGTTCCACAGACCTACAGAGGCCCCTGGGGGTGTCCGGGTGTGCACGTGGGCAGTGTGTAACGCAGGAGAAATGGTGTACACTGTGAAAGGAACCCGTTTCATACCCTCATCTCTATTCCTCACTCGCCTTTTTGCCTGCCTTATCGGCTCAGGTACTGGAAGAAACCAGGACGCTGGTCGCACAGGAGGAAAAGATCCCTATCTTTCCCTCCTTCTTCGACCTACGGATCAGGGGTTCTGTACCTTTGTACTCTAGCCCCATACACATACGCAGGCAGTGGGGCGTTGTGGTGCACCTAGGTGCAGCCGCAGCTGCAGCTGTCGCGTGCACGGGTGATGCGGTGATCACAGGCGCTGTTGGGAACACCAGCGCTGCGGTGCACACGGCTGCTGGCAGGTACTGTGGTGTACACAGGCGGTTGATACTGATGATGCTGATGATGGACTGATGATGAAGATGATGATGATGATAATGGTAATGGTGATGAGGAGGATTGATAACGATGATGCGAATGATGATGATGATGGCTAGAGTGCTAATGATTCTACTGAGGATGTCGATGATGATTATAATGGTCATGCATGTTATGAGCATGATTATGATAATGATGACGGTGACAATGATGATGGTGCTGGTGATGATGCTGTTGATGATGCTATTACTGATGTTATTAATGATGCGGATGACAATGATGCTGATGGTGATGATGACGATGATCAGGGTTGCGGTATGCTGCTGCAGCAGCGTCGGGGGCAGTCATGGTGGTGCACGCAACCACTGTGGTGGGCACGCGCGGGGGCACCTTTGTGCAAACATGCCTTGTGGAGGACACAGGAGCTATGATGCAGATCATACACGCTATTCTGCTGTAGCATGCGTGGAGATGCGTGGTGATTCGCCTGTCGGCCTCCCTATCGGCTCCTCCCCCAACCTTACTTCTTGAGCATGCTTCTGGGCCCCGTGTCCGTCGCCCGCTGAGCCGCCTGAGAACTTCAAAGGGCCCCTCGAGGCCCCATCAGTCAAGGGATGGGGAAAATCACCCGGACATGATAATTGGCGTTTACTAGAAGGCTCTGGGCGTTTCCTAAACAGCCTTGCCATGTTCGGTTCCCGGTTCTTTCTTCGAGGGCGTTTACTCAACGGCTTGCTTTGTCGGGGTGGTTCTTATGGGGGTGGATTTTGCGTTTTTTAATCAGGTGGATGAGTACATCAATAATTATACAGTTTTTGTTGGTTTTGCCCCGTTGTTTCTCCACGGCGGGTGCCCGGCCAGTATTCGCGCTCGCGCGAGGCCCTGATGTAGACCTTGTGCACGCTGCCATCCTGGCGGGCTCGGGTTGCCCTCCGTTCGGCCTCCTCTGCCGGGCATCCAAACAGACCTTGAACCGCGGGAGAACGCCGAGGGGGAAGGAGGACAGGGAAAGGCAGGGAATTGGGCGATCGCCGTCATTCGTCTCCGTTCATGAGCGCTGCACAGGGAACATCATCCCACGCACGCCGTCCATTCGCACGAAATTGCACCTGCATGGGACCCTTCGCCAAGATGCGAGAGGTTCCTGACGTACGGGGTCCCTCGCGCACCAGTATCCGCACGTAGGGGGGGTCCACACACACAAGGGGCCCCACGTATACATGGGGTGTTTGTGACGCCTGGTTTCCCTTCCCACACGCATGACCCAACACTCGGCAAGTCCTCCCCGCCGTCTCACCTGCTTCCTCCCTCCCGGCCCCCCACACCCCCTCGGCCCATCCCCTCCCCTCATCTCCATTCCTCCCCCCTCTTCCGTCTTCCTCCCGCCCTTCCCTCCTCACTCCTCTTGCCCCCCTCCTCCCTCCTCCGGTCCCTCATCATCGTTCTCCCCCCCCTTTCTCCCACGGTTGATTCCCCCCCCCCCCCTCCTCGCCATGGTCCCCTGGTGGAGACAGCGGCTGGGCCAGATGTTCAGATGCAGAGCCGAATGTTCTGCTCCGCTGGAACATACAATGCGTGCGGATCATGTATTAAAAAGGCAGGGCTCTAGTATTAAAAACAACGAGGAGTTCGTGCACACATTTCTTTATAGACTAATCATATTGTAATAAGGCTATAGTACTAAAACATCCTATGTATTAGAAAACTGCCCTGTACAGTCGAGGCGCCGAAACAAGGACCGCGCGGGGAGCGGCGGGAGGGGCCCCGGGCGCTCGGGCCGTTCCTCGGGGCGCTGCGCCGGAGAGCCCGTTCCGTGGCCGAGGCTCGCTTGCGCCGTGGCCGGAGAAGCGCCTTCGTTCCTTTGTTTTGTTTCCCTTCAGGTGCAGTCAAAAACCCTAATAAGGACGCGCGACTTTGCTCAGGGTACCCTTGCGTCATTGCTCTTCCTTGCTCTTGCGTCCTTGATGTTTTCGTCGTCCGCCGCCCCAAAAATCCCAACTTCGGCTTCCAAGGGTCTTGCGTCCTTACCGCGCGTCCTTATTCGGGTTTTTGATTGTAGCACGCTGACTGTATTCGAGCTGTCCGAGCGGTCGAACAGGAGAAACGCTGTGCAGCCCTGGCGATCCGGGGCGGGCCGAGCCTGGCACGGCGCTGCTCTGCAGCCCGGCGCCGCCGCCGCGATTGCCTTTTCGACTCCGTGCCGGGGCGGCCGGGTCCGACGCACGCTGCGCCCCGATCCGAGTTCCGGGTTCGATGCTGACGGCTCCTGTCTCGGCTTGAGGCGAGGTCTCCTCGACGAGGGGCCGCCTCCTTCCCCTGTGAGGAGAGCTTCTCCCTCGCCCCCTTTCCCTTCTGTCCCCATTGTTGTATTCCGTTCTTGCCCCATTGTTGCATTCCCTCCGTCCTCCTCCTCCTCTGTAGATGCGAGGACTGTCTTGATCACTTCAGGCATACCACTGTTCCTGCTGACCGTTTGACACGTTCACCACCTCCAAGAGGCACTCTGTGACACGAGCATGTTGCCGTTGCAGAGTCTCCGTCGCCCCGAAGGCCGTTGGAGCTCTCCCTGGTGGCGGAAGACCGCACTTCTCCCTCGCCCGCTGGCGCTCAGGAATTCCAGCGGGGCATGGAGAGGTCGCTGAAGAAGCTGGAGCCCTTCTGCGCCCTCGACGGGCGCGCAGGCGCCCGGGGGGACTGCGGAGGGCGGGCCAGGTCGGGGGCGGGCCAGGAAGGGGCGGAGGAGGAGGAGGAGGAGGAGGAGGAGGGAGGAGGGAGGAGGGAAGAGGGAGGAGGGAGGAGGGAGGAGGGAGGAGGAGGAGGAGGAGGAGGAGGAGGAGGAGGAGGGAGAACGGAGGAGGAGGACCTGGCAGGGGTCTGGACATCATGGCCTTGGATGCGGCTCCTGGGAGGTCCCCTCCTGTCTTTGCCCTGGTCCGATCTCCGGCCCAGTCCGGCTCAGTCCCGCTCAGGCCCCCTTCATCCTGCTCAGTCCGGCGTCATGCCGCTCGGTCCGAGGCCCGATCTTGCGCAGCATAGCCCCGGAAAATGGGGCTCGATATCCTCCCTGGTCCGTCCGACGAAGACCTCCCAGCAGATGCCTCCTAATATGGCGCCATGATTAAGTCGGGCCTGTCCCCCTACAGGGGGACTTTCGACGGAAAACAAACAATACACCAAAAATAGTCAAACAATAATCCAAAAATAGTCTGGGGACTATTTTTGACGATTTGTTGGCCATGTTCGGTTACTTTTGGTGTGTGTTTTTATCTTTCGTCGAACATTCCCCTGTAGGGGGGCACGCCCGACATAACGCCATGATGCCTCCCAGACCTCGTGGCCACCTCTTCTCTCTCTTATTACGTCCCCTGCCCCCCCCCCCCGAAGGCCGCGCCCAGTGCCACGCTCCGCGATCCCCCCCTTTTGGACGGCCCCTCTCTTCCTCTTTGAGGTCTCCTCCTCCTCCTCCTCCTCCTCCTCCTCCTGCCACTCCTCCCCCTCCTCCGCCTGCTCCTCCTCCTCCTGCTCCTCCTCCTCCTCCTCCTCCTCCTCCTCCTGCCACTCCTCCTCCCCCTCCTCCTGCCACTCCTCCTCCCCCTCCTCCGCCTGCTCCTCCTCCTCCTCCTCTTCCTCCTGCTCCTCCTACTCCTCCTCCCCCTCCTCCTCCTGCTCCTCCTCCTCGACCTCCACCTCCTCCTCCAGCTTCGAGGCTTATTCGTGCGCTTGCCCAGCACGTTCCCGAGCGCGTCCCTCTCCCAGGGGCCTTTGCGGGGCTCCAGAGATTTCGTTCGGTGGCAAATCATGGAAGCTGGGTAATTCCGTCTCCAGCGTAAAGTATCGACTAGACGTAAGAGTGACCTTTCACCAGAGTGACCTTTGGTGCGGGCACAGATGGGCCCTCCGATGGCAGAAAACGAAGCGGTAGCAGCGGCCTGCGCGCCCAGATTTGGTCTCCCCGCGCCCCCCCCCAAGCCGCGCACGAAAGATCACTCTTACCCAGGGTCACTCTTGCGTGTAGTCGAAATTCGCGTCGATTCAGCGTCTGTGAGTCGATGAGATAGCGCCGATGTAGAGTCGATTAGGGTCGACTTAGCGTCGATTGGCGTCGATCTGCGTCGATTCGGAAGGGCCGGCAAGATGGTGTGGAAGGCTCCCATGAGTTGCCACAGAGACTTCAGGAGGTCTCTTTGTCTCCGGATGGAGGGGAAAGTCAGTTTCCTCCGCCCACCTCCTCCTCGCTAGGAGGCCACATGCGAACCCTACCCCACCACCCCACGATTTCTGAGGGGGGAGGTGGGGTTCACCTCGTTGAGGACCTCCCGAGCGAAGTGAACCCCACCTCCCCCCTCAGAACTCGTGGGGTGGTGGGGTAGGGTTCGCATGTGGCCTCCTGCCCCCCCCCCTCTCGCTGTCGTCTCCCTCCTCGTTGTGACCGCACGCGCGTGCAGCGTGCGCACGCCCTCCGCGGCGACACGGCTTCTGGGGGGGGCCCCACGGAGCAGCCCACATTGCCACGGGCGTCAGACACTTGAACCTCCTGTTTCGAAGAGCCCGGCACTCCTGGCCCAGATAGCTCGGAGGTGGACAGACCTCCTACCCTGACACGTCGATGAAGGAACTGGCCGTTTTCGGCTCGCGAGAGGGCGTCGCGGCGGTCATTTTTGCGGGTCCAGGCCCGTCGATTTCGGCCCTAGGTCGTGTTCACTAAGGGGAGGTTTACTAAAGGGAGGTTTGTCCACCGCCGAATAGCCCGTTACCCCCCTGTGGGGCGGGACGGGACAAAATCCGGACGGGGCGGGAGCGAGGACAAAATCCGTTCCAGAGCGCTCCGGAGCGCTCTCGGAGCGTTCCAGGATGCTCTGAGAAGAGGCCACGGCGCCCGAGACGTCCTCCAGAGCCGCCGGGTCTCAGAGATTCTCGAGTTCTCACCCGATCTCAGCCTCGTCGCAGGATGTGTGGAGGACGGAGGGGGGAGGAGAAGGAGGAGGAGGAGGAGGAGGAGAAGTCTGGGGGGAGGGAGGAGGCAGAGGGCGCAGAGAGGAAGGGAGGGGCGGAGGGATGGGCGGGACCATAGCTCGGGCTATGCTGCAGACGGCGGGACACACAGATCAGCCGCCATTGCCTCTGGGTTGGGGGGCAGCCAGCCTCCCGGTGAGCCTTGGACGCTCGAGCATCCGGTTCGTTACGCTCTGGCCCGATAGGGGAAGGAGGAGAGAGGACGAGAAAGGGGAGGAAGGGAGAGGAGGAGGAGGAGGACGAGGACGAGGACGAGGACGAGGACCGAGGGAGGAGGACCGTGGGAGGAGGAGGAGAGGAGAAGGAGGAGGAGGAGGAGGGAGGGAGGAGAAGGGAGAGGAGGAGGACGAGACGAGGAGGAGGAGGAGAGGAGGAGGAGGAGGGGGAGGAGGAGGAGAGAGAGGACGAAAAAGAGTAGGAGGAGGAGGAGGAGGAGGAGGAGGAGGAGGAGGAGGACGAGGAGGAGAAGGAGGAGGAGGAGGAGGAGGAGAAGGAGGGAGGGAGGGAGGGAGGGAGGGAGCGAGGAGGGCGAGGGATAAGGAGGAAGAGGTGACCACGAGGACGCTGGCGCGGAGTCAGGAGGGGCAGGAGGGACGGAGGGGACGGAGCGTGGTGGATCACGAGGCGGCCAACACCTTCTCGTCCCGCCGTCCGCCCCCTCTCTTGTCTTCTCCCCAATTTCCTTCTGCTCATGCTGTCGCGGCTCCTCCTCGTCCTCCTCCTTCTGCTCATCCTCCCCTCGAAGCAGAAAAAACAACGTCATTAGCATAAACTCTTGGCACTCCGCGGATTTCTTGGATCCGCGCTGGACCCCCCCGGCGGCGCCTCTGGCGCGCTCCGATCCAAGAATTCCGCGCGGATGTTTATGTCGTTTGTTCTCCTTCTGTCCCTCTCCTCCTGCCAGTTTCGGGGAACGCGAGACTCGAGTCCTGCCAGTTTCGGGGAACTTGGGTTTGCTGGCGCGTTTTGGTGAGAGCGCGTCCTGGATTTTGACGGTCCCGTTTTCGTGGGATTTTTGCAGCGGGAGTTCGCATGAAATTGCAGATTGGGTCTCGTCATGTTCATGATGGCACCGTCAGGCCAACTCGAGTCCCCCGAACCCGAGTCTCACGTCTCTCCAATCATGTTTGTGCTCATCTGCCACCTCCTCCGATGGCGCATGACGCGATGTTGTTTTTTTCTGGGGGGGGAGTGGCAGACTCGTCGGACAGCGAACCAAGGAGGCGCGAGTGCAAGGGATGGGTGCGTTGGGAGGGGCTGAACCGACCTCGTTGCAAATGGGAACGCATGTTGGGACTTCGGAGGAGTGGAGCGGCAGGCGTATTGCGGTATCGTCGATGCTCCTTGGTTTCATCAAGGCCGTCCTCCTCACCTGCCCTCCCTCCTCCCTCCTCCTCCTCCTCCTCCTCCTCCTCCTCCTCCTCCTCCTCCTCCTCCTCCTCCTCCTCCTCCTCCTCCTCCTCCCCTCCTCCAGCCGTCCTACTCCCCTCCTCCCTCCTCCCTCCTCCTCCTCCTCCTCGTCCCTCCCACCCGGGAGGAAGCGGTTTGGAACGCCGCTCTGACAGGCCGCCGAGGCTGCACCGTGGCCAGCATCGACCATTGCGCCTTCATGGACGACGCCGTGTGGTCGGACATGCACCGCACGGCGAGCGGCCGCGGCCCGTGCCGTGCTCTCCTCGTCCGCCCTTTGCTCCCCGCTTCATCCATCGCTCCCTCCTCCCGTTGACCTCATCCCTCCCCCCCCCGTCCGTCGTCGCCTCCTCCCCCCTAGCTCATCGCCCCCTCTTCTCATCCTCTCTCTCTCTCTCTCTCATCCTCTCTCTCTCTCCTCTTTCCCTGCCCCTCCCCGCCTCCTCATCCTAAGAATCCTCCCCTCTCGTTTGTCATCCTCCTCTCATCGGCGTGGACGGTGCCTGCCGACGCTGCTCGGTCTGAGAGCTCCAGGGGCCGACCCTGGTCATGCGCTTCCTCGCCAGTGCGTCGAACAGTGGTTCAAGTTCTGGCTAGACGCCCCGCAGGTGAGACATGCGGTTGGCAAGGTCTGGTCAGACGTGGTGCAGCAGTTTGTAGCATTGGATGTGCAGCATCGGGCTGGGCATGTTCGGGGACCGATTTCTGCCCTAGTCCACTACTTGGTGGGCGCTCAGTGGGAACTCAGGTCAGCCACTGAATGGTACCCTCCTGTCGGGTCCGACGGGTTGCAGCATGGGATGGAATTTGGGGTCAGAAGATTTTGAAGCGTCTGATCAGGCAGGCGAGCTGACAGAACATGTCGCAGAGACCCTCAAGCGGCAGCAGTGGCACGTCGCTGCTCAGGGTTGTTGTGGACGCGGCATGGAGAAAGGAATCGACAAGTTCTCGCCTCGCAAGCTGTTGTGTCAGCTTGCGCAGTTGCCTGTTTTCGGCCGCAAGATTTTTGCGCTCATGTTATGCATTGCTGTAGGCGGCGCGTGGCCTGCAGCTAGGAAGAGTGCGCTTGGACACGACATCCCAAGCGAGTGTACTCGATGTGGCGGAGGCCCTGAGACCCCAGTCCACAGGTTTTGGACTTGTGAATGTAATAGGGGAGTGCTGCTTCCAGTGCTTCAGAGAGTCTCACTCCCCGAACTTGTAATGAATCCGAGAGTTTAGAATGCTATTGGTTGCGAGGCCTCATTCCGTCTCCGATGCTTGAGGTAGATCCACCACCAACGGATGAGGGTTGGATTTGCAGTCACGATTCTGAGGTTTTTCATGGCGGTTTCTTTGGGATCGGCACGGCTGACCTACCCCTGATTCTTTGGGGAGACGCGTCGGGAGGAGCTGACACTCACGATCCTAGGCTTAGACGTGTTGGAGTGGCTGTCGCCACGGCACCTGCCGCGGCCCCAATCTCTCAGGCATCTGTGTATGGCCCCCTCCCAGGCCGCCATCAAACGGCACCTATGGGGGAGCTTTCTTGTTCTGTTCTGTAGTTGCCGTGGAGCACTCGGGCCCTCTCGCCTACATTACGGATAATGGTGAGGTCTCTCGAGGCTTTTGGAGTGGGTGTTTTGAGGCTGCCCAGGGGCCCAACGCGGACCTCTGGAGGAGGTTGCGTGTCGCCTTCCGTGCGTCGGACCGGCACCCAGGCGATGTTTGCGCGCTCAAGGTGCCGTCGCACGTGGATGCTGTCGAGCTTGAGGCCAGAGGATTGCCTGGCCACCCGATGGCAGGAAACGTGTTCGTCGACGGCCTCGCGGGGGCAGCCGCTCGCGTTTTCAGTGTCCCCGCGGAGCAGCGTGCGAGGGTTTATCGCATCGAGGATGAGGTTCGTCTTATCAGGGGGCGTCTCCTGAGGGCCACCCTAGAGGCTTGTCAGAGGGACGTGGGAAAAAGGTCAGGCGCACTCCTGCTCCTGCGGTTGCCCCCCCTCCCCCCCTGCTCCTTCAGCGGTCGCCTTTTTTTAACAAAAAAAATCCTGTCATCTAGTGGGAGCGACTGGAAAAAGGTGTGCTCGGTGTCGCGGCTCGTGCCCTGGTAAGAATAAAGCGAGCTGGCTCGCATCCGAGTGATTTGACCTAGATAAGGCGACCGAACACACTTTAAGAGTTCCTCACGGGTGTTGTCTACATCTCGCGGGGGGGTGGGTCCATCAGTCTCACTGTATGGTCCATCGTGTTAATTTTGATAGTCTGTTTTGTAAAACATGTGATTCTTATGGCCCCTTCCAGCTTAGGGGCCTGGCGGATCAGTGCCCAGCCCATCGTGTCCAGCCCATCTATGCCCACCCCTGCCTCTCACCAAGACGAGGCGGGAATATCTCGATCAAGTTTCCAGGAGCTTGTGGCCCAAAGTCATCTGCAGAGCTGAGAAGGTGGCTAGAGGTCTTCCCAATCAGTGTGGGTGGTGTGTGGGGCCCCAATGTGGTGTGCGTGTGCGCGTGCGGTGGTTTGGTCTGGGACGGAGTGGGGAGCGAGCGTCGCGCCCGCGCGGCCCGCTCCTGACCTTCAGCTTCCAGGACCGCCCCGCTGCGCCCACGCCGCCCCCGCCACCCCCAATTTTCTGTTTCGTTTGACTTCGTCATTGGTCTCATCTCATCTCATCACCTCCTCCGCCTCCTCCTCCTCGTGCTCACCCCCCCCTCCTCCTCCTCCTCCTCCTCCTCCTCCTCCTCCTACTACTACTACTACTACGACTACTACTACTACGACGACTACTACTACTACTACTACTACTACTACTACTACTACTACTACTACTACTACTACTACTACTACTACTACTACTACTACTACTACTACTACTACTACTACTACTACTACTACTACTACTACTACTACTACTACTACTACTACTACTAACTACTACTACTACTACTACTACTACTACTACTACTACTACTACTACTACTACTACTACTACTACTACTACTACTACTACTACTACTACTACTACTACTACTACTACTTATTAGAATATACTCCTACTCCCCCCTCAGGCCGGCAGATAGCGGGCGCATCCGGGTGGTCCCATCCTAACCTGTAAAAAACAATACAAAATCAATATTTTTCTTATTTTTTCCTCTCGACATGGACGTCCTGTCGTCCACGGCGATAATCCTGTGCAAAAAATACCACAAAGAGCACACGCGCGCGTTCATGTCAGAATCCTACCGAACACCGTGTGTTTGCAAGCATTTCAACATAAAAACATCAAAAACCCAATGCTTTTTCACAAAAATGCTTTGGGGTGTCCTGTCAGACCGTCGGGCTTCCTCCGGCCACCTCTGGCTTCCTGCGGTGTACCGGGCCATTCTCGACTCGTCTGGCAATGCGTGCGCGGCATTCAACACGCGCTCGCCAGTTCCCGTCGGCAACCGCCATCGCGGCCGCATCAGCTGTACCAAACCGGCTGGCCGGTGTGACTTCGGCCCCCAGTTGTGCCAGCTTTGCTTCTTATGTTGTGGGAGGGCGGGTGGGACTGGGCATGCCATGCTTGACTCGCTCGAGCTGGCTAGCTTGACTCCTCCTACTCCTACTCCTACTCCTGGCCTTCTCCTACTCCTACTCCTACTCCTACTCCTACTCCTACTCCGCCTCCTCCTCCTCCTCCTCCCCCTCCTCCTCCTCCTCCTCCTCGTTCTCCTCCTCCTCCTCCTCGTTCTCCTCCTCCCCACAGCCCGGCGGCCACTTCTGTAAACCTCCCCAGTCCCTGCGCGGAGAACGCCCCAGGGAAGGCCCGCTTCGCGCGGGCGGCCACCCGCAGGGCCCACCACACGGGCGGGCCCCACGCCTCCCCCCCGCGGGCCGCCTCTGGACGGTGACCCGCGGGGGCCCCCGAGCGGCCCCGCAACGCGCGGCCCGCCGCTCTGTCCAGGGAGGGCAGGGCGGGAGAAGGAGAGCTGGCAGCCTGTGTCCCGGCGCTGCTGCCGCCGGCATCCCCGGCCCCGCCGCCGCCGCTGGCCCCCTCTGGCGCCGGCCCCGCCACGCCCCCGGGTTGCTCTGAGCGGGCCCGGCTCCTCTCGGTCCCCTCCCCTGGCCGGCGCCTCGTCGTTCCTGTTCCCTCCCTCCCTCCTGCCCTCCCTCCTTCGTGGTGGCTGAACTCGCCCAACACACCCCGTTGTGCTTCAGTCGCCATCGCAGTCCCTTGGCCGAGCCGCCGACGTGAAAGAAAGCAATGTCCTGGCGCCGCCGGGGCCCCATTTGTCCTGTCCGTCGGATCTGTAAACACATGCGTAGAGTGTTCGTAATGCAACGGGCAGATCTGTTGTAGATCCACGAGCAGTCAACGGGCTGACGGGCTGCGTTCCGCCACGCGCCGAGGGGGGTGAAGGGGGGGGAAGGCTTCGTAGCAGCTCCTCTGCTTCTCATTAAAGGTGAGCGATGTCTATTGAATTAGGGCCAGCGCATTCTCAGAAGCAGCTTCCTTCTAAGAAGAGATCCCCCCTGTGCGCGCCGCCAAGAAGAGCTGGCGGCCTGTGCCCAATGAGTCCTGCTGCGGCTCGGGCCACAATGATCACGTTTCGGCGAAACGTCAGGCTCGAGTTCGCCTGATCTTGGCCAACGCTCGCAGTTTTCCACCGTCCAAGGTTGTAGCGTCGAGGGAATAGCAGGTCCATCAATTTCTCCGTGATTGTCATGGGATAAGCGTTCGCAGTTCCGCGCTGATTTGTCTTGGATCTGCGCTGGCCCCCCCCCTGGCGGCGCCTTCGGCGCCACCCCTGGCTTACTCTACGCACCAGGGAGGGGGTGTCCAGCGCCGATCTTGTATAGAAGTCCGCGCGGACTTCGGACACTTTCTGTTTCTGCAGTTGCTTGCAACCATGTGGATATCCGCCCGTTTTCTCAGCAACTGCATATCCGTTTCCTTCCTCCCCCCAAGGTGAAAGACACCATGTCGGAGCATGGCTCTGAGCGAATCCGCTTCCTCGACGTCTGGACGCTCACGTCCCAGCTGGGCCTGGATTGCATCGGTGAGCACCAGTCTCCAGTGAGCACCCTCTGGACGGAGGGGGGGCAGCAATCGCATTGACGGCACAGTGATACAAATTTGCTTAGCCCAGAGAAAGTTCTTCCTGCTGCTCCTCTCCATTCCGCTCTGTCCAATTCTTCCTGGGCGGAAAATGGGCAGCTGGCGAAGTGGCCTGGGGGTCTTGCTCCGCGATGGGAATCCAAGCAGACGTCCGTTTGCATTAAGTCGGGCCTGTCCCCATCTACAGGTAGAATATTCAAAGATAGACAACCAATAGTCTGGGGATTCCTATTTTTTTTGACAAATTGGGAGCATTGTTGGACTTTGTTTATTTTCGACCAGAATCCCCTCTGTAGGAGGACAGGCCCGACTTCACGTTTGCAGGATGTGTGCTGCGCGAGCGAGCAGCAGCGCGGCCCGGCGCAGCGGCGGTGGGAGAATAGGGACGGGATGGGGCGGAAGGGGCAGGCTGCGGAGCTGCAGCATCAGCGGCAGGAGGGGGCAGAACGAGGATCGAACACTGGAGATGGCAAACCAACAGGAGTCGAACGAGGCTCGAGCAATATTGCAAGAAAGAACAGTACTCGAACGAACAACAGTATTCGAGCGAGGATCGAAAAGCACGAAACTTTGGGCGTCCGCACGAGACTCCTCGGGGCCAGCGCTGCCCCCCCTCCCCCCCGGGCGGCGCCCCTTCGACGCCGCCCTCGGCGCGCTCTCTCCGCGCGCGCCAGGGCGGGGGGGGGGGGCCTGGCGCAGGAGGGAACAAAAACTCACGGTTTGGGTTTCTTGTGGAAGATCTGTTGTGGACCGGCCTCCGCTGTACCGGCATCGGCTTGGCCCCTGGCCCGCGAGCGCTCCGCTCTCGACCGCGGTGGTGCCATACTGCTCCATGGTGCCAGCGTCAGTGAATTGCTTGATCATGCGCCATGCCGACCGGGCTCATGCGGCCAGGTGCCCAGATTCCATCTTCCAAGCCATGGCCCCTGCCTTGAAAGACAGGCACAATTGCCAATGTTCCAGCGGGTGACTAGACGCGCGCGGTCTCCGGAGAGGGATGGTGCTCGATCGTATGAAGCATGCAGTTTGCTATGAAGGCTGCCCCCGCATCCTGGTCTGTACGGCCCGTCCTTGCCTGCTCGGGTCATCCCTGCCTGTTCGGCCGGTGGCATAACCTTGCGTCCTAACATCGTATCCTTGTTCGTACCTCGTCGACGAAACAATCGCATACATGCATTATCCGACGCCGCTCCTTGCACGCTCCGCGCGAACCTTTGAAACTTTCTGGTGATGCTGTGTTTCACGTTCTTCTTCTGATATCCTTGGCCGTGCCGTTCTTGCCAATGGCCCCACTCGCAACACGCGATCGGCGCCTCGGGCGACACTCGTCGCGAACAGCACCTTGGGCTCGATTCGGGTGCAGCTCCTGGGATGTCTACTTCAGCCTCGGCGCTGGTGTACCCGTGGTCCGAAACTGGCATGCATTCAAGACGCTGAAATAAGGAACACTTTGGGTTCGGAAGGGGCTCGATGTTCCTGATATGCCTCCAGTGCTGGTCCTCTTGCCCCCCTCCAGCACGGAAGCGCCTCTGGGCTCAAAGAGTGGCTCCGTTCCTTATCGAGCGTTCCTTCTTTCAGCTGCCCGACTGTAACGCGGCAAGTCCTGCCCGTCCGCCCCCCTCGGGCTGAATCTTGGGCCTCGTGCGTGCGGGCCAGTCCGGGGCTCGGTGGCCCCCGCTCCTCCGGCCTCGTCCAGGCGTCGTCCTCCCGCGGAGGCCTCGAGCTCCGCGGCTTTCGGGAGCCTTGAGGCGGGGGTCAACGCAGACGGGGGTCAGCCAGAGCGCCCGATCTTGCAGGATCCTGCAGGGCCAGGGTCGCATCGACCTTGGTTTGGGTGCAGGATCCTGCAGGATCCTTCGCATTGACCCGGACTTGGGTGCAGGATCTTGCAGGATTTTGCAGGATTCTGTGAGGCTTGACTGACCCGGGTCTGGATTGACCCGGGGTCAGAGGACCCCCGAGGCTTCGTCTCCCCCCTGCGGCCCATCCCCCACGCAGAGGGCGTTCTGGCGAGGGCCACCCAGGAGTGGCCTGTCGGGGTGGGCGCGAAGGCAGACGCGAACGCCGCCAAGGGCCGACGAGAGCGATCGAAAGCCTCGAGGATCTAGTCTTCGTCTGCACGGAGACAAATCCCCACAAGGGCCGGACGAAAGGGTAGGATAGAGAAAAGTGGGCCTGCGAAATCTGCTGCGTTCAGCCGGGCTCCGCCCCGCCAGGCGGGTCATTCTTCGATGCATGGCGCCTCCCGGCGCCAAGAGCCGCCAGGGAAATTAGCTACGTGAGCGGATTCTCTACCCTGCGGTCGGACCGAGGTAGAAGTTCGGGAACGTACCCTGAGCCATTCGTGCCCCGGAGGGTTCCAGAGGGGGTTTGGGGGGAGGGGGTTTTCAAGGAGGGGTCCCCCAGGGGCTTTCCATCCCCTGTTTTGACGAGGTTCCGAGGCCCCTGGGGGGCTCTTTGGAAAACCCCTTCCCCCCCAACCCCCTTTGGAACCCTCTGGGTACTATGACATCGTTCTCGTCCTAACCTTGTAAGCTTCAGACGTCGGCGAGCTGAAACAATCTAGGCCTCCCAGATGGGGTCCGGGCAGATGGGGCCGGAGGATCGCGCCGCATCGCCGATGCGTCGGCGATGCTGCTCGATGTGGAGCCCGATGTTCTCCAGGCCGACGTCGCCGATGCCTCGCCGACTTCCCCGAGGGATCGCCGATGCGGCCCGATCCTCCGACCCCATCTGCTCCGGCCCCATCTGCCTCTGACATGGGCGACTTTGAGATGTTTCAGTGAGACAACGGCAGTTGGCCTTCGGGGAGCCCTCGTCGCCACGGCTGGACACAGCTGATGGGCCTGTCTTCCACCGCCACCGTAAGCTGGAGGGGGGGATTTTTTGTTGCCCGCACGGCACCAAGCTGCCCTCTTACACCCAAGGCGGCGGACGATTCCGCCAAGGGGCCTGTTCAAACTAACAAATGATTCATCGGACCCAGATTCGGGATCGGCAACGGCAGACGCAGAGCCTCGGGACCGACCGCCGCTCGCCGCCTCGAGCAGCCGAAGTGTCGTCGACACACGGCTGAGGGCGCGAGCATCGTCCTCCATCTCCGAAGGGGGGGGGGAGACTCGAGGGATTCGGGGACCTCCTCCTTATCGTCGCACCAGGGGCCGACCTCGACCGAATTGCGGCCACGTGTAGGGTGCAAGCCCTGCGCGATGCGCTTCCAAGGCAAGCGCCCGCCTTGGGCCCCCGTCTTCGGCAGGGGCCGGCACGAATCTTTTAGACCTCGAATCTGCCCGCCTCCAGTGTAAAACCTACACTGGAGGCAGACATAACAAACAAAACTGCCATCACTGGCGTCGAGGAGAAGCAGCTCTTGCCCCCGAGCCGACAAAGCAGGAGCATCGCAACCTCGGATCCCGACCCCGGGACCACCGCGGCAGGAGCCCCTGGGAGGTTTCGCAGAGGCCCTGGGCCCGCGGAAGCAAGAGAAACACTGCCAGAATCGACCCGTCCAAGACCAGACATGGCTTTTCCTGTCGTGAGACGCGGCAGGCGGCGGCGGCGGCACGGGCACTCGCTGCACCTCAGGACCCATCACGAACCTGGGCCGCAGGGCCATGATCTTAGCCGCCAGGATCCCCACTGTCTTGGCAACTCGCAATGCGCGCTCCAGCTTCTCCGCATCCTCAGGACACGGCTCAGGATGAGTTGAAGCAGCAGCCTCGGCCGAAATATCCACAGCATGGTCACCCTCACGCAGGTAAGCCGACCAACAATCCTCATCCTCGCTGGCCGACTGGTGGGCACGAACCTCATGCACAGCACAACAGCCCGAAAAAGGGCGACAGAGCTGGGCCACCCCCGCGTAAGCTCTCATCTGCGACGCCTGCTCAGCCCACGGCGAAGAATGGAAATCCAAACAATTCAGACAGTCCCAAAACATGTCACACTCCCCGCGAGGAGGAGGACGAAGAAGAGGAGGAGGAGGAGGAGGAGGAGGAGGAGGAGGAGGAGGAGGAGAACCCCTTCCCCCTCCAACTTAGGGTGGTGGTGGTGGTGGAAAACAGGCCCATCGACAGCTGTGGAAATTGGTGCGCTTCGACCCAGGGAGGGGTCTGGGGACCGACCTGGAAAGCCACCGTCCTCTCAGCTCACCCTGCCCTGCGCCGAGAGCTCTCTGGCGCCACGGCGGCGCCGCCGGGTTCCCGTACGGGGACGCGTTTTTGTCTTGGTGCATGAGCGGTGCGAAGCTGGGGACCTCTGAGGGACGGGGGCCTTTGGATCGGAAGGGATCCCCAAGCGGGGTGGTGACCACACCGTGTGGTGATCGGTGGGGACTCGGGGTCACCGCACGGTTTTGGGGCTCGGGTCGTTCTCCGAGGACGTCCCGGGCGGCTGGGGCATCCGAGGTCCCAAAACCGTGCGTTGACGGACCGTGCAGTGAGGTCTTGGCACCGCACGGTCTGTCACCGCACCGTTTCGGGACTCAAAAGGGTCTCGGCATCGCTCGGACGTGCGACTTTTTCCTTCGGCGGGGACCATCGAGGAGCATCCTTGATCATTTGGCGAAACAACCACGCACGAAACCGAACAAAAACACAGGGAATGGACGTCCGAGTGATGGCCAGGGGTCGGAAGGGATCCAAGCGTGGGTTTGTGCTGTCCGAGGCACCTCGTCCTCAAAGGGCCCCCGTGCCTCAGGACCCCACGGTCGACCCGCCGAGTGCGGAGAGCGACGGGGGAGGAGAGATGAGGGAAGGAGGAGGAGGAGGAGGAGAAGACAGAGGACGAGAGAACGAGGAGGAGGAGGAGGAGGAGGAGGAGGAGGAGGAGGAGGAGGAGGGGGAGGGAAGGAGGAGGAGAAGGCAGATCAGAGCGTGAGTTACCTGCCCCGCTTTCGCTTCCACGCGAAACCAAGTCATGCCACGCGCCATCTCGCCCAGCGGCCTCACCAGTGCAGGCCGTGGTTTGACGTCGCT